TGGTCGTCAACTGTCCCACCCCCACCTCTAGCGCTGTCCCACCCCCACAACTACCGCTGTCCCACCCCCACCCTACAGTTGCACCACCCCCACCCCTACCGTTGTCCCACTCCCACCTCTACCGCTGTCCCACCCCTACCCCTACCGTTGCACCACCCCCTACCCCTACCGTTGCACCACCCCACCCCCATGATTTGTGTGAACCTCACGGCTTATCTGTGCGGGTACCATACTCGGTGATTATTAATAGAACAAAGCTGGGTTTAGAGGCTGTAATGACCGACTAAGAGTCAATTCAACTTCATTTTCATTTCTTGTGTTGACACTACGTGTTTTTTTTTTCCCCGTTTCTTACAAAAATGTTGCAAATTCGGAAGAAGTTATTTCTAGAACGGATATTTATTTCTAGCTAATTCAACCATAGGCCTACGTCGATTTTCAATTTTGCCTTTACAAAATGTTGAATCGAATAATGAAATGTTATTTCTAATCCACAACAAAAATGGATAATATTTCACGTTGTGGTGGAAACTCAAAACAACTTGTGTGTAGTAGGCCTATATCTAAGTAAATAATTTTTAAAATGGTGATTATTCGAAACTTTAACCCCGGATCGAATCCTAACGCCGCCGGATTTCGAGAACAATTCCGTTCGTGCACCAAAATGGCTGACGAGTCGTACCAACAGTACAAGAATAGGGCAGAGTTCTTCGCCCGTCACTGGTGTCAGATGGAGGGGGTGGGCGACAGCTTTGACCGGCTGTTTGACCTGCTGTTGTGTGAGCAGTTGCTCATGGGCAGCGACCCAGCCGTGAGTGGCTATTTTAAGATCAGGCACGTGAGTTCCAGCCAGGAGTTTGTGGATATGGCGGAGAAGATCGTTCTGGTCAGCACTGTCGGTAGGTGTTGGGGGTTAGTTGTTTGTATGGTGGTAGGTGTTGGGGGGGGCAGTAGTTGCTTGTACGGTGGTAGGTGTTGGGGGTTAGTTGTTTGTATGGCGGTCAGCAATGTCGGTAGGTGTTGGGGGTTAGTTGCTTGTATGGTGGTAGGTGTTGGGGGTTAGTTGTTTGTATAGTGGTAGGTGTTGGGGGGGGGGCAGTAGTTGCTTGTACGGTGGTAGGTGTTGGGGGTTAGTTGCTTGTACGGTGGTAGGTGTTGGGGGTTAGTTGTTTGTATAGTGGTAGGTGTTGGGGGGGGCAGTAGTTGCTTGTACGGTGGTAGGTGTTGGGGGTTAGTTGTTTGTACGGCGGTCAGCAATGTCGGTAGGTGTTGGGGGTTAGTTGCTTGTACGGTGGTAGGTGTTGGGGGTTAGTTGTTTGTATAGTGGTAGGTGTTGGGGGGGGGGGGCAATAGTTGCTTGTACGGTGGTAGGTGTTGGGGGTTAGTTGTTTGTATGGTGGTAGGTGTTGGGGGTTAGTTGCTTGTATGGTGGTAAGGTGTTGGGGGTTAGTTGCTTGTATGGCGGTAGGTGTTGGGGGTTAGTTGTTTGTATGGCGGTAGGTGTTGGGGGTTAGTTGTTTGTATGGCGGTAGGTGTTGGGGGTTATTTGCTTGTATAGTGGTAGGTGTTGGGGGTTAGTTGCTTGTATAGTGGTCAGCACTGTCGGTAGGTGTTGGGGGTTAGTTGTTTGTACGGTGGTAGGTGTTGGGGGGGGGCAGTAGTTGCTTGTACGGTGGTAGGTGTTGGGGGTTAGTTGTTTGTATGGTGGTAGGTGTTGGGGGTTAGTTGCTTGTATGGTGGTAAGGTGTTGGGGGTTAGTTGCTTGTATGGCGGTAGGTGTTGGGGGTTAGTTGTTTGTATGGCGGTAGGTGTTGGGGGTTAGTTGTTTGTATGGCGGTAGGTGTTGGGGGTTATTTGCTTGTATAGTGGTAGGTGTTGGGGGTTAGTTGCTTGTATAGTGGTCAGCACTGTCGGTAGGTGTTGGGGGTTAGTTGTTTGTATGGTGGTCAGCAATGATGGTAGGTGTTGGGGGTTAGTTGCTTGTATGGTGGTAGGTGTTGGGGGTTAGTTGCTTGTATGGTGGTAAGGTGTTGGGGGTTAGTTGTTTGTATGGTGGTAGGTGTTGGGGGTTAGTTGTTTGTATGGTGGTAGGTGTTGGGGGTTAGTTGTTTGTATAGTGGTAGGTGTTGGGGGTTAGTTGCTTGTATAGTGGTAGGTGTTGGGGGTTAGTTGCTTGTATAGTGGTAGGTGTTGGGGGTTAGTTGCTTGTATAGTGGTAGGTGTTGGGGGTTAGTTGCTTGTATAGTGGTAGGTGTTGGGGGTTAGTTGCTTGTATGGCGGTCAGCAATGTCGGTAGGTGTTGGGGGTTAGTTGTTTGTACGGTGGTAGGTGTTGGGGGTTAGTTGTTTGTATAGTGGTAGGTGTTGGGGGGGGCAGTAGTTGCTTGTACGGTGGTAGGTGTTGGGGGTTAGTTGTTTGTATGGTGGTCAGCAATGTCGGTAGGTGTTGGGGGTTAGTTGTTTGTATGGTGGTAGGTGTTGGGGGGGCAGTAGTTGCTTGTACGGTGGTAGGTGTTGGGGGTTAGTTGTTTGTATGGTGGTAGGTGTTGGGGGTTAGTTGTTTGTATGGTGGTAAGGTGCTTGGTGATACGTTTTTGGTATAGTGGTTAGGTGTTTCAGGATTTGTTTCTTATATGGTGGTAAGGTGTTTCAGGATTAGTTTCTTGTATGGTGGTAAGGTGTTATGGAATTAGTTTCTTGTATTGTGGTAAAGTGTTTGAGGATTAGTTTCTTATATGGTGGTAAGTTGTTTGAGAATTAGTTTCTTGTATGGTGGTAAGGTGTTTGAGGATTAGTTTCTTGTATTGTGGTAAGGTGTTTGAGGATTAGTTTCTTGTACTATTTCGACGTGATAATACCAAAGGCATTTCGACAATATCTAAATAGATCTTCACCTTTCATAAAATCACGAGTCATAGACCAGTCATAGTAAAGGTACATGAATTTCTTACGTGCTATAAAAAACTTTACATTTTATATCTTTGGGTACTTGTGACTACTGACGAGCCCTAGAAAGAAAGCATGATTTAAGAAAGAGGGTTGATCAGACTTTATGATTTTGTTAAAACACAGTAACATGTCGTGTTTGGTGCGTGTTTGTTTTGAAACAAGACACAAACTAGCCGTTGGTACCCGTTACACGTGAATTATCGGTCTATATATTTTTAATGTACATTTTTTAGAAGAATATTTTAAACAATAGTTATTGGTCAAAACGCAATGTGCTTTACTACAGGTTTAACGATATTAGTGACAAAGCAAAGAGATAACTATATAGCTAAAATTCCGACACATTTAAAATAGCATAGGCTATCAATACCTATTAGAAAAAATAAAACCAAATTATATACATAATTAGTCAACACAACACCATATTAAATGCACGCATTGATTAAAAGACTTAAATGTCTCCGTTAAAAACCCGGCTTTTCAATAGTATTTACGTTGTTAAAGTAAATTGTATTAGTTTTGGCCGAGGAAATGGTATAAATTTCATAAATTACGTCTCGATAAGTAAATCTATAGATCTAATTCAAATTTTAATGAATTAGTTCATTTCTTCGAATTCTAAAATTGGAAGATGACGCCATTGGTTTTGTGTACTTTCCGTACTTCAAACATATGACATGTGATGTCATCGATTTTGCTGTTCTTGTCCCAACTGTAAACCCTTTTCGGGTTGCATAATTAAAACTGTTTTTCTACATTCGAAGATGCCTTTATTTTTTATTTTTCTTCTTTAAATAAAATTGTGTTTATACATTTTAAAACATCTCCCATATTATTTTCAACAAAATTACTTATCAAGTTCTCCATATATCGCTGAATATACTGATATGATAGCCTGTGAAAATATTTTGCGGACAGAGAGAAGTGCGCACATGGGCTTTTATATATTAGGATTTCGGACTGACATAATTGAATTAATCTTTTAATAGCCTTTCCGTGTGCAGTAACATACCGGATAGACACACACAAAAAACTGATCAATTCTGCCATGTCGATAGCTGAATCTACATTCACTTTGTAATAATTGGCTATTTTAATTTCACCTACTATCTTCTTTAAAATTTAACTCATATATAGACTTTTTAAAGTTGTTTTGTACAACTGGAGTTAAATACATAGCATTTCTGTCACTTAAAATAAGTTGTTGTTTCAACAAATCATCTTTCTCTGATAGGAGCTTTATAAGTTCCGAAAAACTGCCACTTTTTGATATCATCATCTTTTCCTTTTGTGCCCGAGACCAGAGGCGTAGCGACCCTTCCCGGCGCCCGAGGACAAGCTTTTGATTTGCACCCCCCTCCCTCAAACTTTCGATTTGCACCACCCCTCAAGATTTCGATTTGCATCCCCCCTTAAACTTTCGATTTGCACCCCCCTCAAGCTTTCAATTTATTTTTCCAACCCGTTTTGGCGCCCCCTAAGGTCGGCGCCCGGAGACATATGATATAGGCGCTGCTAAACATCGAGATTCGAAATTTCGTTAGATAAGTTCTTTCTCTGCATTTTTGTAATTTTCAGTTTTTATGTTTCTGAAATTGGACATTAACTCAACACCCCTTTATTCAAGTGCTACTACTCGTCAAGATTTTTTAAAATCATCGCATGCCTATTTTTAGAATGCCAAATACGTGTTGTAAACTTAAGGACCTAACATAAATGGTGTCATAATTTTGCACTAGCCATGTATTACATGCCTAAATGCTGCATGAAAAGAAATCTTGTAAGGAAGCGATGTACATCAATGTGCCGATAAAAAATAAATGTTTACTTTAAAAAGTTTCCAAAGAGGTGCCAGTTTGCAGCAGTGTTTCTTTCAGAAATATATCTTGGGGGGGGGGGGGGGGGGCGGACAAAATTTTCCGGGGGAGGGGCGAAGAAATGCCTGAAAGTCTGCTTCCCCCCCCCCCCCCTGCATAAGCTATTGTATCCAACCCAAATAAGCCCGCTATGTTTATACAGCTATATGACCTGTAGATCTATTTTTAATTTCAGAAAATAGACCGGAAATGTCGTCACGACGGAAAGTGCTGACAATGGAGGAGGTGTCGTTGATCAGAACACTTCAACAGGTTTGTCATACATTTTGTCACATGACGTCACATTCCAATCGTCACATGTTTCAATAATATAAATTAAACACGTATTGTCAGAATTTTAGTTTCACAAATTTTATTGATAAAAATAGGCTTGAAAAGTCTATGCAATTATATTTAAAAAAAATTTAAAATATGGCAAGCGATAAAACTATAGTTACATTTGTAAAAATTAAAGCCGTTTGGGAACCATTGATTACACTCGTTTTTATATTTCTGTATCGAATATGAGCCGTTGAAAAGCCGTTTAGAATTATTTTATCAATTCCAATATTTTCAAAATCTGACCTTAATATCTCCTTGAAGTCTACCGGAATGGCCAGGGAGAGTAAAACAATAAAAGTCAGAACAATTGCTTCCCATAATAAAAAACACACAGACTCTACTAATCCAAATAAAAATCAAAAGTGTTTGCTAAATTGCTATTACATTGCTAGTAATTGTTTCTTTGACTACTTCTTGCCTTAATGAAACCGGAAGTAATTTTGTACTTATTATACACATGTTATAAAATATTCAATTTTGGGTGAATAATATGCTTTCTGGCAACACACATTTGGAACCATTTGGAAGTCTATGTTTTACACACACAAATTAAATGGCCGGGTGTTGGATTAGCGATTTTTTTAAAAAAATTTTTGTTTTTAAAAGTTAATGCTTTTTTTTCCTGTCACCATTAATTTTTTTTTACTAAATTGCGTTTTTACATATTCAAAAAATCGTAAGTTCTCTAATGGTTTTAATTTTATAAGCCGTAGTGCTAAGTTCTTTTTAAGTGGGTAAGTTAGAACTAAAATGTAAATTAATTAGTGAATAAATCAGTAGTCTAGGTAGCATTTGTTTGAATATTTTGTTTTCTCACCTAAATGGGTTGCTGTCCCCAGCAAACGAGCCTCAGTCTCACGGGGTTCGAACTCGGGACTTTTGGATGAGACTGTATTGCATTTTGTTTTTCTCCACCAGGCAATCATCGTAATGCGACAGTACGACATCCCCATTCCACCAACAGAGAAGAACATCAACTTCGAGAGGGCCATCCTCATCATCGAGAACTTCGTCAGGGCGGGGGGTCCTGCACCCATCGTCAAGGTAGGTCAGGGGTGTGATAGGCTGTGGTCAAGGTAGGTCAGGGGTGTGATAGGCTGTGGTCAAGGTAGGTCAGGGGTGTGATAGGCTGTGGTCAAGGTAGGGGCTGGGATAGGCTGTGGTCAAGGTAGGGGCTGGGATAGAGGTGTGGTCAAGGTAGGTCAGGGGTGTAATAGGCTGTGGTCAAGGTAGGTCAGGGGATGGGATAGGCTGTGGTCAAGGTAGGTCAGGGGTGTGATAGGCTGTGGTCAAGGTAGGGGCTGGGATAGGCTGTGCTCAAGGTAGGTCAGGGGTGTGATAGGCTGTGGTCAAGGTAGGTCAGGGGCTGGGATAGGCTGTGGTCAAGGTAGGTCAGGGGTGTGATAGGCTGTGGTCAAGGTAGGGGCTGGGATAGGCTGTGGTCAAGGTAGGTCAGGGGTGTGATAGGCTGTGGTAAAGGTAGGTCAGGGGCTGGGATAGGCTGTGGTCAAGGTAGGTCAGGGGTTGGGATAGGCTGTGGTCAAGGTAGGTCAGGGGTGTGATAGGCTGTGGTCAAGGTAGGTCAGGGGCTGGGATAGAGGTGTGGTCAATGTAGGTCAGGGGCTGGGATAGGCTGTGGTCAAGGTAGGTCAGGGGCTGGGATAGGCTGTGGTCAAGGTAGGTCAGGGGCTGGGATAGGCTGTGGTCAAGGTAGGTCAGGGGTTGGGATAGGCTGTGGTCAAGGTAGGTCAGGGGTTGGGATAGGCTGTGGTCAAGGTAGGTCTGGGGTGTAATAGGCTGTGGTCAAGGTAGGTCAGGGGTTGGGATAGAGGTGTGGTCAAGGTAGGTCAGGGGCTATTATAGGCTGTGGTCAAGGTAGGTCAGGGGCTAATCCACGGCTGTAGGACTATGACACCACAAGTAGGTTTAAATTCCCATCCCAGGTGTTGGACTGTCGCCACCCCACATGTACGACTATATTCTTAATGTTCCCATCCCACATGTACGACTATGTTCTTAATGTCCCAACCACATGTATAGGAAAAAGTCCCACCTCATATGTAGGACTATGTCCCCCGCCCCACATGTAGGACTTTGTCCCCACCCCACATAGAAATATGTCCCCACCTCTTATGTAGGAATCTGTCCCCGCCCCACATCTAGAACTATAATAATCCCCACCCCACTTGTATGACTATGTCACCTCCAGTGATGTTAACTCGTGCATCGTTAGTGTGATTTTGTGCACCAGTGAACCGGTTGCATCCGTCATGTGAATCTGTGCAAGGCTGGTGTGAATCTGTGCAAGGCTGGTGTGAATCTGTGCACCACTGGTGTGAATGTGTGCTTTAGTCATGCGAATGTGTGCGTCAGTCACGTGATTTCGTACTTTAGACCTAACCCATTTGAACTAAAATAGACCGATAAAAACTGTATGTACATTAAATAATAAAACCTTGTAAAAATTAGGTGAATATCTTTTCTTTTTCCTCCGCGACCTTTTTTTTTATTACAGAAGAGCGACTATTTTAAATATGATTACATTAACGACGGCTCTTTTTATAATCCCCCCCCCTCTCCCCATACACGTGGACACACGTACATACAGACTCAACAAACTGCAACAGTTAAAGATGCCTATTCATCGCTAGTTCAGCGAGGCAGAAACGCTCCGATGAAAAGCACCGTCGCGAACGTCATTCCAATCGCACGGCCCATACCATGCGACATCAACCGCATCGGGTCCGACAAAAAAAAAATGTTCTATACTATGACAAGAATTTTTTTTTCATCTCCTCTCCTTCCCCTACCATATCAGCAGACGTCAGTTCGATGAGTTGGTCTGTCACCGCGATACACACGCGTGCAACTAATCGGCGCATTCCAGTCTCACGGCAGTGAAGCGATGGCTGATAAATGCGGTCTGTTCAGCCGAGGACTGCAACATGCAACACCCGGTAGATTTACAGATGCAACAGTCGATAGATTTACATATGCAACAACCGAGAGAATTACAGATGCAACAGTCGATAGATTTACATATGCAACAACCGAGAGAATTACAGATGTAACAGTCGATAGATTTACATATGCAACAACCGAGAGAATTACAGATGCAACAGTCGATAGATTTACATATGCAACAACCGAGAGATTTACATATACAACAGCCGGTAGATTTACAGATGTAACAGCCGGTAGATTTACAGATGTAACAGCCGGTAGATTTACAGATGTAACAGCCGGTAGATTTACAGATGCAGCAGTCGATAGATTTACAGATGCAACAGCCGATAGATTTACAGATGCAACAGTCGATAGATTTACAGATGCAACAGTCGATAGATTTACAGATGCAACAGTCGATAGATTTACACATGCAACAGCCGATAGATTTACAGATGCAACAGTCGATAGATTTACACATGCAACAGCCGATAGATTTACAGATGCAACAGTCGATAGATTTACAGATGCAACAGTCGATAGATTTACATTGCAAAAGCTGATAAATTTATATATGCAAACGGCTGATATTGAACAGTTTTACAGCGCAAGAATTTAAAATCATAAAAACCTTAATAAAACAATCCAACTCTAGCGTACCCGTCCCGCGCGTTGCTGCTGACTTACACAATATTTTAATAAGGTTTTATATATGAGTGTGCGATACCAATAGTGTATTTTTATACGCGTGACCTTGTTTTCTAAAACAGTTATTTAAGTGAAAACAGCGCTGGCGCTATATTGTATCTTAGATGTTGGGACGTGGCTTTGTTCATACTCTCGCCCAGACGCCCATGGGCGCGTGGTATGAAACCTTAATCACTCTCCGTTATAGTAAGGTACAACACATCTCGGCGATCGTACATCTAACAGGTGTGTCGCGGGACGCTCTCGAAATCCACGCCGAGTGCGTGCCCTGGTTTAGTCATCGAATGTAGTGACCCACCCTGTCCATAGTGTAGGGTGCTCTTTAAAACGACTGTAGGCTCCGTATTTTTCACATGGATCCCGGGTGCTCCGGATCGCCCGACCGTCGGGGCGCCGAAAGACGTGCCTTATTCGATTTTTTGTGAACGATTATAGTAGCCCATCTTATCTTGGTGTAGCGCACTCGGTGAAACGAACGTATGTGTTATAATGCTCACGTGGGAACCCATGTTGCTAAATATTCCCTTGTCGAGGAGCCGGATGTCTCGCCTGGTTCTATTTAGTCAACGATTATTGCAGCCCATCATGTCATTAGTGTTTTAAACAAACATAGACGCCATAGTGCTCACGGAAAGCCTGGGGCGCTCTGGGTCACTCAATCGCCGAGGTATCTGCGGATGCTCTTGGTGTGGTGTGACCATTAACTCAAATAGTACCCCGGACCCGCAATACAGGACTACCAACCATCACCAAGTGCTAAGATAGCCGCCTGGGAAATATTTTCATATACCGTATACAGAGGAAAATCACACCCTGCCAATGTGCCGCCCTCCGAAATTGAAATTTTATTTTCGCAGAAACCGTCCTGAGAGTATTTCCATCAACTCTCCGATGTTTCATTACAATCGGATAAAAGGGCAAAGCCACCCCCCCCCCAACACACACATTTTTATTTATTTATACATATATAAATATAAATATTTGGAGCTGTGTAATAAGAATAATAAGATTTATCAAAATATGACCTCTCTAATTATCTTTCTGAATACAAAAAGCTTTTGTCATCTTTGAATGGGGAGGAGCGGGCATTTTGAAAAGAACTGCATGACTAGAGAATTATAGGTATTTAGCGTTATATACGTGTGAATAGATGCGTTTTGATGTGCATGTATGAATGTTTTTTTGGTGTGCGTGTATGAATGTATGTGTTTTAATGTATATGTATGAATGTATGTGCTGGTAAGGTTTTGACTCCAAACATAACCCATGAACTTTATAACCAAAATAATATATTGTATTGATTTATGCCAATAGTTATATTACTATACACTGTACAGCAATAGTCTCAAGCTAATCTGCTCGCCCCTCCCCTACCCCACAGCGCACGAGACCACTGGAGCACGACACGATCAAGCAGGCGGTGAGGGAAGATTCCGGTAACCGGACGGCCTTGAGAGATTTCTACCACAGCGTCCTCAAGTTCTCGGCTACACTACCCAAACCTTTTCAGGTACAGCTGGGTCTACAGGGTTTGTGTGTACACCTGGTGTGTGTGTGGTTCATGTGTACAAGTAATATGTACGGTTCGTGTGTACTTATGGTGTGAAGGGATCATGTGTACAACTGTCTACATGATCCACTGATCGACTGCGACCTACCTAACACGTCTGATCGCTACACGCTCTAACACTACCTCCAACTGCTACCCCCAAGTCAGCTGACCGTCGCACGTGACCGGTCATCTCGTGCAATTTCATTGGTCTACCACAGGGATCTCCAAACTTTTCAGTCCGAGGGCCGCATTAACTATAAAATTTCAGTTCTGGGGCCAGTTTCTTCCAGGCATGTCTTTGATTTTTCTGGGCAAAGTTCCTCAGCCAGCACCAACAAACGTTTTTTCCGTGGACAAAAAGAACTCCGCGGGCCGGATGAAACGACCTCGCGGGCCGCATCCGGCCCGCGGGCCGTAGTTTAGAGACCCCTGGTCTACCAGATGACGCTATGCTCTGTTTCTCATTTCTTCTGCTTGATCTCTACACTATTTATATCATATAACTTGAGCCGTCACACATAGCTTTACTAACTACTGTCCACATCACGTGTGGCACCAAAGAAAAATTTTGAGTTACAACAATGACTTGTAATAAAAAAAATATAGCGTCTCAAACTTTTCCAAATACTGGGGAGGGGGGGGGGGGGGGGTGCTTTCTTGCTAACGTGGACAACTTTATGCAAAGAGAGGGTGTTGCGAAATTGAAAGTTTGCCACAGGCGCCAGAATGAGGTGTTACGCGTCTGCGTGTGTGTTTCATGCTTACCACTGGTTCTAACGTTTCATAATTTCATTCTTATGAGAGAAAAAAATTCTTATCAGTTCTCCTGGCTTAGACATCCGAGTTCGCTATTTATCTTATGTTTGAGGTTTTTTTTTAAAATATGGCAAATAGATTTTCTACGATAAAACTCCATTCAAATCGTCTCCACTTCCTTTTAAAGCCAGATAAATCTGCACTGAGTTCCGCTACAGTAATAGATCCCAATCTACTTGCAATTTAACAGTTTTTAAAATGATGTTCAAACCCTCTACCCTCTCCCTGTACCCACGGTCATTTAAATGTTAGGTTTACAAGATTGTTAAAAAATTGGGTGATATTTACTGCTGGTAATTCCGACAAGTCCGACTGAGTTAAGTAAATGTATGGCTTTGAAATTCCTTACCACTTCCACCACCCCCCCCCCACACACACACACACAATCGACTAATGCCACGACCCGGTGTTTATGTTTCAGAATGATCTAGAACAAATGTTCGCCCAGTATGAACGCCATTTCAAGCAGTACATCGAAGATTTGTCGTCAAGTCAGTGCGTACTTCTGATAGCCGGTTCGTAAATTTGTTACCTTTGGTGTTTACGTTTTTGGTGCGTAACTTTATTTAAATGATTTATGTATGTATTCATTTTTCGTGAGTAAAGTAATTACTTTTTGTTGTGTACGTGTATGTGAGTACATGATTGTACATATTTGGTGCATAGGCAACATGTTTTTGTTCTTTTTACTTCCTTGTGTATATATATATATATATATATATATATATATATATATATATATATATATATATATATATATATATATATTGTATGTATTTCTCCTTATTGTCAGTATGTGACAAAAAATACGTATTCCCGCCTTTATCTGATATGCGACTGACGTAAATACTCGAGCCTCTCACTGTTCTGATTGTACTGTCTTTACATGGTAGAGCTGTCTGTATTTTTGTTGTGTAAATAGTGTCTTTACAATTATGAATGGTATAACAATCTGCCGTCATCCAATCATTAGGCTTCTTAGTCTCGTAAGACGATAAGATTACGTGCGCCATAATGGGGGCGTCAGACTTGGAGTATTTGGGTTTTGATCTTAACTCTCTTGGCGTGGAGACGAATCATTTCCTCTATTTTTTAAAGCATTGTGCAGGATTTGCTTCCCCTTGGCTTTTGTCCTGAGCAGCTTCCTCCTAGCTCCGATGTTCATTTCTAGGACTGATATTACGCTTGCTTGCATCCTTATACGTTAGTGGGGGACGTCTTTTCTACCTTTTCCCTGCAACAAGTTCCCAACAAGTTTCTTCACTCATCCTATGCACTTGTCTCAACCATCAAAGGCGGCGTTGTTGGAGTAAGGTGACCATGCTGAGTAATTTTTGCTCTCTCCAAGACATCATTTTGTGTGGTAGGTCCTTCCAAGTGATCCTCGGCATCCTTCTCAACCAGCGCAAGGGGAATGTACTCCGTCTTTTTTTTTCTCATGCAATGTGTAGAGTGCTGGTTTCGCTAGCCTCGCTGGCTCGATATACACAGAAATTTTTGTCTCGATGTTGACTGAATGAGCATTTTGTTTTTCCAAACTCTCTGTCAGTCTAGACATAGTCGCCGACGCCTCGCCAATTTTTTAAAATTTATTTTTATGTCCAGTGAAAGGTAATTTATAATGGCGGGGCCAAGATTGTGAAATGGCCAACGACATCCAGTAGTGATCAGAGTTTCTTCCAAGCATCTCTTCGGGGGTTTGCCCCCCCCCCCCCCCCCCGAAATTTTTTACCGCCCCCCCCCCCCCCGAACGAAATGAAATTTATATAATTTATATAGAAAATATATATTTTAACAGTGTCCGCCCCCCCCCCCAAAGAAAGTCTACCGCCCCCCCCCCCCCCGAAAATTTCAAGTGCCCCTCCCCCCCCCCCTCCGGAGAAAAAAAGTCTGGAAGAAACACTGGTAGTGAAGTTGGGCGAGGCTGCTCCTTAAGCCATGGTGTTAATCCTCCTTATGCTGATTTTAAGGCCAAAATTATTGCAGGATTTGGAGAAGCGATCCATGAGAGATTGAGTTTATCTCCAGTGTTCGCTAGCCAGGCAGCTTCATTAGCAAAAAAAAAGCCCTTGAATGTTATTTTGCGCACCTTAATCTTGGCTCTCAGCCGAGATAGTTTGAAAAGATCACCAGCCATCCGCACAGTTGCATTAAAATTGTATCTTCGAATTGAATAGCTTTCTGCCTGCTTGTTATGTAAATAAATTCTTCACTTTGTATAGCTATCTTCACGGTTGCTGTGTAAATATTATCTTCTTATTGTATAAATAAATATCTGCACGGTTGATGTGCAAATAGCGTCTTCACATAGTATAAGTATGTGCATCGTTAATGTGTAAATAGTGTCGTCACATGGTATAAATATGTGCACGATTGATGTTTACATAGTGTCTTCACATGGTAAAGCTATCTGCACGATTGATGTGTACATAGTGTCTTCACATGGTATAGCTATCTGCACGATTGCTGTGTACATAGTGTCTCCACATGGTACAGTTATCTGCCAAATACCTGTGCGAGTGGGTCCTAATTCATTATCTTTCTGTTTTCGCCATGGCTGCATGTAATAGTGCAGCGCAGTGTGATTTCTCTAGTGTTCTGTGTTGACATTTTGAAGAAGTTGAAGTGTGATAAGCAGCTTCTTAATTCTGTTGATTACAGTGACAGCTAAAGATAACCAACATCCTCCAGCCTTCATGCCCCCCTCCCTCTCCCTCCGTCCCCAACACCTTCGTTTCAAAATGTTAAAATGTTCGAAGTAACTGGGAGTGGGTGGCGGGGGGGGGGGATTCTGACTTTTCTGGTGATATACCTATCCTACTTTGGAGTGGGTTTGTAGGAAAATGTGACGTAGTCTACATTATGTTTCTTAGAAACCGAAGTATCAAGTAAAAACCATGATAATATTAGTTAATTTTATGGCATTTTATTGAGTGGTGGAAATTTGTGGTGTTATTTTAGGAGGGAGTTTGGGGATTTGTAATGTTATTTTAGGAGAGAGGCTGGGGATTAGTGAGGGAGGTTGGCAATGAATGTGATGTCATTTATGGGCTACCCCAATAGAAATTGAAATGTCATTTATGGGCTACCCCAATAGAAATTGAAATGTCATTTATGGGCTACCCCAATAGAAATTGAAATGTCATTCATGGGCTACCCCAATATAAATTGAAATGTCATTTATAGGCTACCCCGAGAGAAATTGAAATGTCATTTATGGGCTACCCCCAGAGAAATTATAAATAACGCAATATTTCCCTACCACCTGCAGGTGAGATGGGCTCAGGTAAATCTAGTCTAGTCAACCTCCTGCTGGGGGTACCGTTGTTACCGACCAGCGAGCTCAGGTGCACGGCTGCCATCGTGGAGATCCAATACGGGGCTACACCGCAGGCCATCGCCTACCCGCGAGAGGACAGCTCGGGAAGGTCCAGAAGCCCCCTCACAGTGAGTTGCCAGCTGGCTTTCTCTTTATTCGTTAGATAAAAACCTGGCCAAAAAGAGTTTGCAGCGAATAAAAATGATGCAATTATTGATTATAAAAAAGACCTAGATCTAGGCCTGTTTCAAATATGATTGTAGTTTTAGTGCTAAAATAATCATATAAAACTACTGATTTTTTGTTACATCCTTCATTAATTCTAAAATGCTTTTTTTTTTAATATAAAAAGAATATTAGATTAATAGGCCTAAGGTAATTTGTGTGTCAAGCATGGCATAAGTAATAACAGCAAACAGAGGCCTAATAATGTTTAATCGTTTTAGGTGTTGAACTACCAGGCCTGACACTTGAAATACTGGGGGAATCACTTAACTCCTTGGGAAGGGGGGGGGGGGGAGGGGGGGGGGGGGGGGTTCAGTATGTTTTCTATTTAAATTAGTACATTTTTCTATTTCATCCAAGGGCATAGCATAGTTCACTCAACCATTTACCCAAAAGATGTCTGAAATTATTATTACACAGCCTTTATAGTAAATGTTATGTTATAAAACCTTTTTAATAAAGGTTCTATTGTTCCTGGCTTTGCAATAGGCATATCAAATTTCTAATTGCTTTTTTGTAAAATAAAAAGTGCCAAATCAGTTTCTTTATTTGACAGCTGAGAGCAGAATCTACAGAAAAATCTGGGGAGCTGATAAAAGAACTGGAGCATTACATCACCTTGCGTGACGATGAAACTGACGAGAGCCCATTTGAAAAAATTGTGGTCTCATGGCCGATAGAAATGCTACAGGTTAATTCTTTTTTTAGAAATTTATTCTGGTGCAGATTTTCACACTGGTCAGTCAATTCTCTTTCTGGTCAGTCAATACCGTTTGTCTTAAATGGAAAGTAAAGTATAAGTAAAATTCCTCTTTCGACCTAGCAATCCATTGGGCAGATGAAGTAGAGTTCATGTGTTTCTTGACCTCAGCATCTGAAGGATTGGTGTGGTCAGCAATATGCCCAGCCACCTTTACTTTCACCAATTTAAGTCAGGTACCCATCAGAGCTGGGTGGACAGTGTCGTCCTTCAGTCATAAACCTGAACTGAGATCCAAATTCAAGACCTTTGGGCTAGCAGCCATACGTTCTACCATTCGGCCACTCCATCCCTTCTTCATGTATGGCCTAATACCAAATGGTCATCTGGTTAGCTACTCGCATGGGTCAAGGGAATACTACCTGTCTATTTTAAATGGTAATTCATGGTTGTCAGTGAGCTTTTAGTAGCCCAGAAAACAAAGTGCTTTGTTTATCCAGTGCTTGTTCTTTGTTATTTACCTTTGTTTTTTTTTTTTTTAAATCTGCTACTTTAACATCATATTAAGCTTATTAGTGTATAAAAAACTTTTTAAAGTTATTTTAACATAGGAATAATGATACAAAGGTGTTTATTACAGGTAAAATGTTTAGCATGAGACAGTAACCTTTACTTAATGACACTATTTAATTCTTTAGGGAGGTGTAACAATTGTGGACAGCCCCGGGGTGGGGGACAACAGAGGCCTGAGCCAGGCTCTAGCCAACTACATGGAGAAAGCTTTTGGATTTATTTATGTTATTGACAGCACCAGTGCCGTTCATAAACACAGGGTACGTCAGTTATGTTATTATGTCTGTAAGATGAATAAATTTTCATCTTTCACACAAACAACATCATGCATTTTGTACTTATTTTAACACCCCTCCCCCATCATTACAAAATATCAAAAACCGCCATGAAATTATTGCATGCTTCAGTGCATCCACTTTCTTGATGGTGTTGTCCATGTCACATTTTGTCTTACATTTTACAATGATGAGTAATATCATTTAAGAATAACCCTTCACCTTTGCAAGGCAAATAACATTGAATTCATTAGGTTTGGAATTATAAATACACATTCAAATAACAGAAAGCTATCATAACAATAAAGACAATACTATACAATTTGCTGTAAAACAAGTTATAATAATTAATTTAATTAACATAATCTTTAGATCTACTGTTTGCAAAAAGTTGTTTCCCTTTACCATTTGAGATCTGGTTATTAATTTTACTTTGATAATAGAGTTTAAATATAAATTTTACTTTTTTTGTTTCATTTATTTTTTAAAATTATAATATTATGTTATTTAGTAATACAATGAAAGCTCAATAGTGCAAAATCAATATGATTTTTCTACAAAATCTTTCTACATTGACAGTTGTTTGATATTTCAGCTTGGCCAGTTGTTGCTCAAAGCAGTTGAAATCAACGACGGCTTTGATCACAACACAACCCTCTTCATCTGTAACCGCTGGGATCAAGTGCCACCTGGTGACTCGGAGCGAGTCAAAGAGTCACTGGCTGATAGACTGGGGATGATCTTGCCGGGAGTCAAGAAGTCGCAGCTTTATCCCATATCAGTGAAACAGGTGGGTTAACTGTCATTACTCAACACAAACTTGTGATGTAAGTAAAGTTAAGTTCCCTTTCAAACCTGATGGTCTAAAGAGCAAGTGAAGTAGAGTTCACTTGTTTCTGTGACCTCGGCATATGAAGAGATAGTGTGGTCAGCGCTATGCCCAGTTGCCTTTACTTTCCCAAACATGAGTTAGGTACCCATCAGAGTTGGGTGGACTCAGGGACGGTCTACTGACTTGAACCCGTATTCGAACTTGAGACTTATGGGCTAGCATCCAGCTCTCTACCACTAGATTACTCAACATGTGACAAAAATGTGATGTGATATAACTATAATGTGACAAAGTTGTGATGTGATAGGGTTATAATGTGACAAAACTGAGCAGTGACAGAAGGATAACGTGACAAATTTGTGATGTGACAGATTTATAAATGTGACTAGAATGTGATGCGAGAGATCAATATTGTGATGAGATTTTTCAGTCACTAAAGATATTCCACCAAAATATAAGATATAATGTACTTCAGTAATACTAGCCTACCATAGTAAAACCTCACATCAATATCCATGAACTAACACTGGTTAAAACATCTGCTTATTTCTTAATTGCTGCAACTGTCATTAGCTACTTTTCTGCAGCTTTAAAATACAATGACTTTTTTAACATTCCCCCTCACCTCTGATAAGTTGATATAAAAAAATATACAATAGGCTGACCTATTGAGATCAAAGGTCAAACCAGCAAAAGTGGATGGAAATAAGTTGCAAAACTTATAGACATAGACAAAATATTTTGATAAGTGAATTAATCACTATAATCATTTTGTTTTACACTTTTGTTTAGTCCGCAATGGATGCTGACTATGGTCATGTAAGACCAGAGCATGAGAACTTGATCAGTGGCCTCAAGAGGTTTCTTCCACAGACCATGAGAGGGAAGCTCAGGTTCTACTACAGGTAGGTTTGTATGTTTGTTTGTTTGTATGTTTGTTTGTCAGTGTACCTTGTTAGACCAGAGCATGAGAACTTGATCAGTGGCCTCAAGAGGTTTCTCCCACAGACTATGAGAGGGAAACTCAGGTTCTACTACAGGTAGGTTTGTTTTTTTGTATGTTTGTTTGTCAGTGTACCTTGTTAGACCAGAGCATGAGAACTTGATCAGTGGCCTCAAGAGGTTTCTCACACAGACTATGAGAGGGAAGCTCAGGTTCTACTACAGGTAGGTTTGTATGTTTGTTTGTCAGTGTACCCTTTATCTCAGTTTTTGTGTGGGATATATTGTTTCATCACTTTAGCTTAAAGTCTTTATGTGTAAACTTAAGTAGCCAGTCATTTTATAGGTTAGATCAGGGATGGGAAGTTTTATTTTTGTTTAAACAACTATCTTAAATGACATTTCTGCTAATGTATTATTTAGGAGATGCAGCAAAAGTTTTTTTTTTTGATAATTTTCTTACAAAAACAACTGTTATATAAACTTAAAAAAAATATAAATATACAGTCCAATCTGAGATGCTATTTTTAGAAAATAATGAGACTCAATGTGAAATTAATTTTACATAGCCCTATCCTTGCATAATAATGTTAAAGTAAGAATTATCAAAAAATTTCTATAAAAACGATTTCAAATTTTTACCATAATCTTTTTTATCAAAGCTAACATTAACAGTAGAGAATAATTTTTATTTTACATAAATATTTTGAAACTTGATTGTTTTTTACATTTTAATTAATTTTATTTTTAATAGATATATTTTTGTCATCTGAATCTTGCATTTTGTTTTTAAAATGTTCACGCTTTTTTTTCCCAAGGTATCTGGCTAACTTTTTAAAACGAGGCCTGCACACCCTGCGCATCAGTTACAACGTTCACAAAGAGAAGGACGAGGAGATGCGGAAAAACTACACCAGTATAGAGGGCAGGATCAGCTCGTTGCAGAAAAACTCCAAAGAGAAGCTGGATAAGATGAGGCGGGAAGTCAAGGTGTGCAGCTTTGAAGCCGGGGGACAAGCGTTGGATTACCTCAACTCTATGAGGAAAAGGTACAATTGTGTTCATCAGAAGTGTGACCACAGCAGTGCATTATTTCACATCATAAACTTATATAAACAGCAAAAAAATAATCTGATGCATGAAGAATGTTAATTTTTGGATTTTAGTTATTTTTAATAATTTATTCATTTGTTCACTTATTTAAAACACATTTTAGAAAATAAAAATATTCTTTAATATCTTTTACTAAATAGATTTTAAACATGGTAGATCTATTATAAAATGTTTACTAAGATTTTATTGTCGCGCTTGATTTAGGCATGTTTCTAAAATGAAACTTCTATTGATAAAAATTAGGGAAAAGATGAAAAGATGGTCAGAAACAATGTGCCCAAAGAAAGAAAAGTCCTGGCAAAATGTAGCAAAAGCTGCCAGCTTTGCCATAGCTGAAAGGATTGCAGAAGAAATCAACCAATGGGAAAACGAGAACAAATACATAAACAAAATTACCAAAGAAATCATCCAAGGTTTCCAGCAACAGTTCTCCTTGCTTGACAACCAGCTACATGAAATTCAAGGTATGGTAGATCTCTCTAAATATCTATATCTATACATATATATATATATATATATATATATATATATATATATATATATATATATATATATATATATATATATATATATATATATATATATATATAATGTATATGTATATGTATTTGTTCATCAAGGCTACGCTAACATACTGCTCTTGTTTAATATTTCACATAACTATACATGTGTCACTGTGACTGAAGAGTTTGCCTTAACTGAGCTGTTTGACTATTATAACTTTAGCTTATTATTTACAGTAATATTTCCTTGAAAATAGTAATTTACACCTGGAATGTTTGTCAGTAGAATAGTTTTGCATGATGTTTCCAAATTACAAAAAAAAACCCACTCATTTTTGCTATCAAGTTGTTGAATTTCCGTCTAAGTTATCATTGTAAACCAAAAGTTGAATCTGTTCTTTATGTAAACAAACCAGGGGTGTTACTCAATGGAGATGACATGAGAAGTTTTGTCACAGACGCCAGAAGGGACATAAAAAAACCAGCCAAAATCACAAAATCTTCACAAACAAATAAAAATGACCCAGTAGACAGTTTTGACAGGTAAAATAACAAAAAATTTTTTTTTTATATTCATGTAGACTCAGATTTGGTTTATGTAATTTTTATTTTTAATTTTCTGTTATTGTCCACTGTTTGTAAACACAAGAGATTTAGAGCCTCTCTTATTATCTGCTTATTCCAATTTTAATAACATATCTAGCTTTGATTTTGGTAAAGAAATGTTGTAGTTAATTCACCATGCTTTAATTTTTGCTCACATTTTCACATTTTAGCTTTGGAGCTGCTGTGATTTCTTGTTTTAACCTTGACCTCAAAGATTCCAAGTTGAAAAAACTGTTCAAAGATAAGTATGATGGAAATCCAAGTAAAGTTATGGAGGAGGCAACAGAAATGTTCCTAGGACTGTTAAATGAGAATAGCATTGCAGCCGCTATGGGAAAATTCTTTGACAGGTAAAGGAATGTTTTCTTTATATATATATATATATATATATATATATATATATATATATATATATATATATATATATACATATATATATATATATATACATATATATATATATATATATATATATACATGTATATATCTATAATATAAGCGGGCTGTGTCTGTCCTTCCGTCCGTCATCGCTATAGATTTTGGGACTATAAAAGTAAACTAGGCACCACGCTGTGCTTTTCAGTGCACCGCAGTGTCTTATTGTAAGTAATTGAGTAGGGTTTGTTTATATAACGGCATAGAGCTATTTTATAATTTCCACTGTTTGTACAATTTTGCATAACGTAAAGAGAATATTAAATACACGCACATTGCTAAAACATATTAAAAGGATCAATGTCAAATATCGTTTTCGTTAATATTCCCTGAAAGAGTGGATACATATTAATAACATAATAACAGTACGGTAGAAAAATCTAATTAAACTGCTTAGTAATTTTGCCAATGGAGGTAATTCAAAGATAAATTGAACTCACGCTAAAAATGTGAATGCAAAATCTGCAAGACGGAATAATTGTTGGAATAATATAATTAGCAAAATGTGAATGCAAATTATGCAGACGTGTAAGAGTACATTATTGTTGGAATATTATTATTAGCATTGATTGATAAAAGGCTATCTTTTACTTATTTTATACTAATTATAATTTTTAATCAACTATTCTCCATTACTATATTGAGTCATCACGTTCATTAGGTGCGCAATGGTTTTAGTCATGAAACTTTATTGTAAATTTTTAAAAGTACTGAAAAAAATGCATGAATTTATAAAGTGCAATATCGTCGGTAAAACACGGACATTCTAAATACTGCCTTTAATTTATTTGCGGAAAAGCTAGGGGTTTTATAACAGAGGCGTAGCAAGAGGGGGGGGGGAGGGTGGAAATCGAAAGTTTGAGGGAGGTGGGAGGGTGTAAATCGAAATTTTTCGCCGGCGCTGGGAAAGGGCGCGATTTGGCGCTACGGGATAGACTGTGAGCAATATGCCTTTATGATTACATTTAAATTGAGTTTATGTTGAGTGTTGTGTTTGTTTTTTCGTTTTTGTTTTTTCTTTGCGTTCGTTTGTGTTGTATTTAGTTTTGTTCTGTTCCCAACTTGGTACATTTAAAAAAGATTTACCGTGTGTTGTGGTTGTGGTTGTGTTGTGGTTGTGGTTGTGTTGTGGTTGTTTTGTGGTTGTGTTGTGGTTGTGGTTGTGTTGTGGTTGTGTTGTGATTGTGTTGTGGTTGTAATGTGGTTGTGTTGTGGTTGTGGTTATGTTTTGTTTGTGTTTGTGTTTGTGTTGTGTTTTTGTTCGTTTTGTTCTGTTCCAAAGTTGGTACATTTTAAAAAGATTTACCGTGGCGGAGCACGGGATGCAGCTAGTATATATATATACATGTATATATATATATATATACATGTATATATATATATATATACATGTATATATATATATATATACATGTATATATATATATATATACATGTATATATATATATATATATATATACATGTATATATATATATATATACATGTATATATATATATATATACATACATATATATATATATATATACATACATATATATATATATATACATACATATATATATATATATATACATATATATATATATATATATATATATATATATATATATATATATATATATATGTATGTATATTTACATGTATATGTGTATATATATAAATATTAATGTATGCAAGCACAATTATATATATTTAGATGTAGGCCAGTAAAGAATTTTTTTTTCAGGTTTATCAAAGGCATAGACAGAGTAGCAACCATGGTGCCGCACTTAATGAAGGCTGATGAAATGCTGCTGAATGAAATTGGTAAAGAGCTGGAGTCAAATAAAGAAAAGTTGAAAGCCTTCCCTGGACTCTCCGACAGTTGCAGTAAAATACTGGGTCAGCTCGACATGTTCTTTGTCAGACGCCTCATGGTGACAGATTTCACTGCCGACAAAATTGTGTAAGAGAGTTTTGTTGGATGGGAATTTTCTTTAAAATTTATTGCTAGTAACTAAAAATGACGAGAAATTTTTTTTTAATATTAAAATTGAAAATAGACATTGGTGAATGTTGCTTTCTTGCTGTTACTTAATAAAAGACTGCTAAAAGGGAAAGTACTCACTTAATAAAAGACTGCTTAAAGGGAAAGCACTCTAAAATGTAGAGCATTAGTTTATTAACATTGTTTATGCAATGTATTTATTTGTATTCTATCAGACTGCATAACCATTGGGTCATTTAGGAAACACTGTTGTGTCCTTCACAATGCCTTACCATCTGTCCTGGTCCTCTGCTGTCCTCAGTGATACTGATGTGGTCCAGCCTTCTTCTGCCTTGTCTCCCTTGCCTTCCTATTGTATATTTAAGCTATGTAAATCTTATTGTCACATTGATCTTGTTTTTCCCAGCTTAGGAGAACAACTAGGCCGAGGTAGTTTTGCTGTTGTCCACAAGGCAAAATTGAAGCATTCAAGTGGAGAGATACATGTGGCTGTTAAAGAGCCACTGGATGTTCTTAGACCCAGTGATGTGACTGATACATTGCTAGAGGATGCAATCTTAAGGTAACAGCATATCGAAATGCATTGTCTTTTTGATAGTTTAGAAAAAAAACATTAGTGCTACAAAGCAATTTTAAAGAAATGTAACTTTTTTTTTATTAAAAAATATTTTATTAAAATAATTTTATATAATTAAAGAGAATAGTTGTCAGTAATTTTGACATTTTTTGTTTTAGGGAAATTGAACACACCAACATTGTCAAGTACTTTGGAGTGTGTCGTCAGGGTACGGAGGAAAAAATGAAGCTGCTGTTTATCATGGAGTACTGTCCACATACTTTAAAAGTGAGTAGTCTACTTGTCAAAATTTGGCACTCAAATCTCTATAGTGTCAAATTAATAAGAAGAGAAGATCAAAATCTGGCACACAAAAGAAAAAGAAGAAAAGACGGGTAAAAAAAAGTCTACCACCAAATATATCATTGCATTAAGTGTATAACCAAAAGAATATTTCTTTTATATTTTTCTTTTATATTTTATTTGCATATTATTAATTATTTCTGTAGTAACAATATTTTTGATGTAATTATTTTTTTTTTTAATTATTCTGCCAATAACTTGTCAACTGTGTCTTTTCAGGCTCGCTGTATTGACACAGACAATTCTCCCAGTAGCCTTGGTAACAACCCAGCCCGTCAGAAGGACGCCATAGCCATCATGACCAACTATCTGCTACAGATTTGTAATGGTTTAGCTTATCTCCACCAGAAGGCTATAGTCCATAGAGATCTTAAGCCAGAGAATGTATTGGTAGGTTTTTATGTACTTATAATAGCATTACAAAAAGTGTTGTGATATGGTGGGGATACTAAAGTAAATGCTTCAGCACAGTGTCTTCATGAGACATATCCACTGCACAAACATGAGGGAAGAGTTGTAATAGTTATTATTTTTGAAAGCGAGGCCTCCTGCATAAATTTTTTGCATGGATAGACTTAAGATAATAATTTAGTTTTTAAACTAGTGAGTTAAATATATTACAATAATTAGCAATCATTAGAATGAGTAAGTGTTCAGTTGTTTTCTATAATTTCCTACTAACAATAAGTGATTTGGTTATTTCATTTAGTGACCACCCCCTTTCCACCTCCTCTTTGTTAACTCTCAACATATAAATCTAGTTGAAATTTTAATTTATTTGACATGAAAATAGCAAAAATTTTTCTATTGAAGATCACATCACAAGGGGAAGTAAGAATTGCAGACTTTGGTTTAGCAAAGAAGGTGAAGGACGTTGTTACATTATGTATTGGCACACCTGTGTATATGGCTCCTGAAATTTTACTTCTGAGTGATAAATACGACACCAAAGCAGACATTTATGGGTAATTACCCTTGTAATTAAGATTTTTAAAATGCCTAATTCATACTTACCTTAATCATTTTCATAAATCTCATCAGCACATGAAATAATTTTCATTTAATGACATTAGCTACATAAAGTTTGATGAACTGTTTTTAAAAAAAAATTCTTTTGTCGTGTTTACCTAGTCTGGCTATGATTATGTGGGAGCTATGGTACGGCAAGGATTTGGCAAAATATGCATCGATGGAGGTACAAGGTGGATTGAAGGTATATATATTTTCCAGTAAAGGAAGACGAACTAATGACTGGTTATGAATTCACTACCTGAAATGGTTCTATGAGTGCCCTCAAGATTTTTCCTGGGGTTGGGGTTATATATATATATACACATACATATAAATACATACATACATATATAACCCCATATATATATACACATACATATAAACACATATATATACACATACATATATATAAACACACATATATACATATACACAGACACACACACACACATATATATATATATATATATATATATATATATATATATATATATATATATATATATATATATATATATATATATATATATATATATATATATAATAGAAAAAAGGATAGAACTACAAAAACTATGACAATGAGTTACTTGACGACCAGTAAAAACCTTATTGCAAAGTAAACATGGGACATTGCATAGCATCAAACATTATTTTAAAACTGATCAATTTAATCCTTTCAGGTTGCTGTGGATCAAGGCTGGAGGCCAAGTTTATTTATAGTTCAAGCTCCGACCCAATTCTGGAAAGAGATGATTGAGTTCTGTTGGGACAGAAACCCTAAACAACGCCCAAGTGCAGTTCAAGTCGGCAGGAAACTAATGCAATATTTTCAGGAGTTGCAAAGCTAAAAATGGCTTGCAACTTCTATTTTTTTCATATATTTGCATATACATATTTGGAGAAAAAAAACCCACTTACTATGGCAAAATTATCAGTCAATTTAATCCTTAATTAATATTTACATTGAATTTACAAATTTGAAAGTAAATAAAATTTTACTAAGTCATTGTTGTATAGATTATACAACCTGATGCAAGTTCAATGTGATGTTGTTCAAAAGAAACATGTCACAATGATTTTTTAGAAAAGGTTTTCTTAAATGTAAGACTCTCAAATGTTAGAAATTTCTGTGAAACCATTTGCTTTAATTGATATGATTTTTTTTTCTTACACACTTCAGTTTACTTTAAGTGATACTGTTGTTTTATTACAATGAATGGCCTTTGATTGATTTGTGATTTTCATCCTTATTGTAAATAATCATACATTTTAATTAACCACATTGTAAATGGTTTATACATAATTTGTAGAGGCCAACATATTTTCATTCACAATGTTTGCAAATGTATAGGTGATTTAAAAAACTGTGAATTGAATCAGATACATTGTTATTTATTACAAATGCATGAAAGTATTGCTAAAAAAAATTTTGTATTTTAAGAACATTATTGTTACCATTAACAAAGGAATAAAAATCAAAGGTTTCTAAAGGGGTCGTCAAAGGCCTCAATGGCACATAAACAAAGAAGAAGAAAGAGAAAGGTTTCTATTTCATGTTTTACTTAAACAGTTATCATAATCAAAATCTATATTATGTTACTAAGGGTCTGTTCTTTTTGTGGAAAAGAATAATTAATAAAGTATTATGTTAAATTGCTAATTTTTCAATAAATTTACTCATAAACAGCATTTTACCTGTAGGCTACTTTACTGTTTCTTCCAATTATAACAACAGTATTGATTGGTTTGAATGTTATTCGTTTTTTTTTAACACTGAGATACGGATCTATACGATCTAGGCTTTTGATAAAAACAGCCATGTAAATGATTGTAAACTACTGTGCAATGCTGTTAGTGTAAGAACAAAAGACTATTAATAGAACGTATGAAATTGAGATGGATGTGTTATCTCTCATTAATATTATCTTTAATTTAAGTTCAGGTATTTCAATTCTTCAGTCCCTGATATTTAATAATGGTAAATGAGAAATAATGCCCTATGAATGAATGTTTGATCCCAATTGTATAAAGAATTTTATGTGTGTAAATTATGTCAGGATTACTCTACAATGTGTGAAGCCTCCCTTTCCACCATGTTCAGTTGTTTTGAGATGACAATTATAATAAAAAATTGTTTTAAAAAATAAATTCTGAAACTACTTTAGGAATTGTCTGCATTATTAATAATAATTTAGTTGTCTAATTGTTTGTTATTTTTCATAAGATGTAGTCTATGTGGATCTATATTTTCATTATTATTTAGAATATTTTACTATTTTCAGGGAAGTTAATTTTCAATTTCGCAGGGGCGTCACCCCAGCAGAATGCGATGTGATTCATCTCTATATAGGGTATATAAAAATTAAAGTCAAATGCAATGGGGCGGGTGAGTACATATGTCCCCGGGCGCCGACCCTAGGGGCGCCAAAATGGGTTGGAAAAAAAATTAAAAGCTCATTTTAGCTGCAGTTTTGAATTTTGGGCGCCAAATTGAAAATTTGTCCCCCCGGCGCCTAGGAAGGGTAAAATGTCTGAAAGAAATATTGATGACTAGTCATTGAGTTAGTTAGCAGCCAACTTAGTAGCATGGCTGACAAAGTAGTCCTTGAGCAAGGTAGGCCCCTGGGTAGCTTAGTGACTCTATGCCATCTTACTTTAATAAAGCAATGTTTAGTTTGACAATATATGATATACTGTTTAGAACCTACCCACCTCCCCCCCCCCACACACACACCCAACACATCCAATCATGCATCATCCCATAGTCATATAAAATAAAAAGAAGTAACACGTAGCAAAATTGCAGGCTTTTTCTAATTAGTTGAGTTACCTCCCTTAATAAAGGGAGACGACAAATGAAATTATAGAGCAAAACCCAGCAAATCTAAAAAAAAAAAACTTGTCTATGGTTTTTGCAAAAAGTTTTTTAATTTGATTATGGGATAATTATTAAAATTGATTTCTTTTCTCTCTATATGCTAGTAAGTGTGAGATGAAAAAATCAACAGATGGCCGTGAACGCTTGTGATCTTTACGCCACATCAAACAACAGTAGGTCTAATAATAATTTAAAAACCTTCCTCTCCTTGGAAAAAATTAAATGTTTAATGCCCTCAATCAGCTTTTGTGGTTTAAATACTGAAAAAGTAATCCAATAAAATAAAATATAAGATCATCAACAATAGTGTAGGTCCTCTTTCAGTGTTTATTCCAGACTTTTTTCTCCGAGGGGGGGGGGGGTATGGATGGGCACTTGAAATTCCCTGGGGTGGGCGGGGGATTGGGTGGGGGACACTGTCATACTCACACTGGTATATTTCTATATTTTATAATTCTATTTCGTTCGGGATGGGGGGGGGGGCGGGGCGGTAGACGTTTTCCGGGGGGCAGGGGGGGGAGGAGAGAGAGATGCTGGAAAAAACTCTGTAGGCCCTATGCATACATAATTATAATGCTAATAACGCTATTTCATATTTCATTTTCTCCGTAAGATTCTCACTATAGCTATATAACTGATAATTTCACCATATATATATAGAATATAGATCTAGATCTAGACTCTAGAATCTAGGCCTAAATGATAAATAATCAGTATTTTGGGACGCATTTTTAAATTTTAAAACCGTAAAACGGATTAAAGAGATGCCTGAAATAAACTCTGTATTAATTTACGAATATATAATATTGCAATGCTATTTGCAAGTCCAGTTAACATTCAACCTAAGTTAGCTCCTTTTCAAATCATAAAAGTAGGCATATTAGAAATTAGATCCAGATCTAGAATCTAGATCTTTTATAGAAACAGGGGAAGCTACTCTAAACAAATCTAACTCCATCTCAGAAGTACACAGACTATTTTTCATTGGAAAATGCAACGTAGTTTATTATTACTTAGAAAATAGATTTGTTTTGGTTAGGCTAATAATTACCGGTATTAATAGATCTAGATCTAATTACTAGTTTACAAACTAACTTACCAATGGAGGTTGAATGGCCTGGGAGATGGGATCATGTAAAGAAGATATTAGAACGCAGTGGGCCCTTTGCTCATCCCGACTTTGAGCCTTCGCCGGACGTAAGTTGAATAGTAATACAGAATGGTTATGGTGAATACTCAGAATAGATAGGCCTCTATATAATAATCTAGATCTAAAATATACTAAAATAATCAACTGAATGTTGAACTTTCTGACGTTGATATGTGATTAAATTATTTAATTAATATAACCCCTTACTTGTCTTGAAAGTCTAAAGTTTGTAGATCTAGATCTAGTTTAGTTAGTTTCATGTGCAATGATTGAAAGTGTACTTCTTTCTGACTGATGATGACAAGTACCTGACTTGCATAAGGATAAGGAAAAGTAAATTACCAAAGTGCTAAACATGCAATTACATAATACATATGTTAATACTGAGGCATCTTATTGCCACTTATTATTACACTTAGACCTAAATAATTAAGTTTAAAAAAAAATAACTTGTTTCAGGTTCTGTCTTTTCTCAAGGACTCCTGTAAAGTGCTTGTGATTGGAGCTGGTGGCTTGGGATGTGAGCTACTTAAAGATCTGGTGAACCAATTGAGTTAAAACTATAATAAGAAACATATTTTTTCAGATCTTTTTAAGAGAATATTGTTAAATTGTTGGCTTTTCTCTTTATTTAAACCTAATGCCCTTTTTAATAAAATAAAATAAATGCATTAGGCCTAGTTATTTATTTTTTTTTATCAGCAATTATCAATTACAAAACTCTAAGTAATTATTTGAATATATTTACACATAAAAGTCTCTCTTTCTATTACAAAATAGTATTCAGTTATTAAAAATCAACTTTCAAAAAGTTCATATTTGATTTAAAAATATATTATTTGTAAATACCATGAGTTTAAATTATGTTTTGTAAATTTTTTTTAGGCCTTGATGGGTTTCAGAGACATTCATGTTATTGACATGGACACAATTGATGTGTCTAATTTAAATAGACAGTTTCTATTTAGGTAACTTTTTATTATTATTTAGAATTTGATATTTTAAATATACAGTATCTTTTAAGGTAAATGTTTAAAATGTTTAATTTTAATGTTTAAATTTTAAATGTTAATTTTTAATGGGAATCATTTTCATAGATAGAGAAATTTTATTTTTAAATAGGTAGTTTCTATTGTGAGGTGTAGATGTATGCATGAGGTGTAGTTTTATACATGACCTTTAGTTGTATACATGGGGTGTAGTTGTTAACATGAAATGCTGTTGTATACATGATGTGTACATGTCGGCTATATATGTGATGTAGCTGTAAATATGTGGTATAGTTGTATACATGCAATGTAATACTTTTCATAGAGCCAAAGATGTTGGTAAAGCCAAAGCGGATGTAGCAGCAGCATTCATCAACTCACGTGTTCCAGGGTGTAAAGTCACACCGTATCCTTCATCATACTTCACATCATTCTTTAAATACTGGCTAAGCTAGGTTTTATTAGTCAGGAGCATACAAAGGTGTTTGTATTAAAAAAAAGTAATATTTTTCTGGGGCATTATTTCCCATTACGAAATTGCTCAGACATTTTGCTAAAATCCAAGATTTTGATGAGAGTTTTTACAGGGGTGAGTATACAGAGAAAAACTGTTTTACATTTCTTGTCACTAAAACAAGTGAATTTAGTAAGAATGTTATTGATAAATGAACCTTAAACTTCTGTTTTGAAAACTTTTAGCTTAAGTTTTTTTAATGAAAAAATTAATTACCGTTTGAAGTTTTCATAGTTTTCATATCTTTTCTCCAATCCCTTTAATGTGCATAATGTGGCTGCAAACTATATGTAAGGTTGACATGCGACTACTTTTTTCACCATGGATTTATTTCCATACTACCCTCCAAATTCTGCTATAATATAGAACTCTACATCAAATTATTTCCTTTTTCTTTTCAGATTTTCACATAGTTGTCTGTGGGCTAGATTCCATTATTGCGAGACGATGGATCAATGGAATGCTTGTATGACTTTTATTATCTTTTCACTAAGCATAAGCTTTAGTTTCTTAAAAATATCATTGTGTCTGTATTAATTGATAGATCAATGGAATGCTGGTATGATTTTTATTACTTTTTTAGTACCCATAAGCTTTAGTTTCTTAAAAAATTTCATTTTTTCTTTATCTAATTATAACTATTTTTAAAAAAGATTGTGAAAAATCTTTAAAAATAAATTAGATTGACAAGATTGTCCATTTATGGCGTTATTTATTAAAATTTACAGATAAGCATGTTAAGATATGAAGAAGGCATTCTTGACCAGTCTAGTTTGATACCAATGGTGGATGGAGGGACAGAAGGCTTCAAAGGCAATGCCAGAGTTATCTTGCCAGGAATTACTGCATGTGTAGAGTGTACATTAGGTCTTTACCCACCTCAGGTACATTAGGTCTTTACCCACCTCAGGTACAGTAGGTCTTTACCCACCTCAGGTACAGTAGGTCTTTACCCACCTCAGGTACAGTAGGTCTTTACCTACCTCAGGTACATTAGGTCTTTACCCACCTCAGGTACATTAAGTCTTTACCCACCACAGGTACAGTAGGTCTTTACCCACCTCAGGTACAGTAGGTCTTTACCTACCTCAGGTACAGTAGGTCTTTACCCACCTCAGGTACAGTAGGTCTTTACCTACCTCAGGTACATTAGGTCTTTACCCACCTCAGGTACATTAAGTCTTTACCCACCACAGGTACAGTAGGTCTTTACCTACCTCAGGTACATTAGGTCTTTACCCACCTCAGGTACATTAGGTCTTTACCCACCTCAGGTACATTAGGTCTTTACCCACCTCAGGTACAGTAGGTCTTTACCCACCTCAGGTACAGTAGGTCTTTACCCACCTCAAGTACAGGTCTTTACCCACCTCAGGTACAGTAGGTCTTTACCCACCTCAGGTACAGTAGGTCTTTACCCACCTCAGCTACATTAGGTCTTTACCCACCTCAGCTACATTAGGTCTTGACCCACCTCTGCTACATTAGGTCTTGACTCATCTCAGGTACAGTACGTCTTTACCCAGATTACCATTTGTATTAAGACAAAAAGGGCTGATGAAGTAGAGTTCATCTGTTTCAATGGCATCTGCATATAGGGTGATTGTGTCGTCAGCACTATACCCTGCCTCCTTAGTAACCCTAATGTAAGTTCAGGGCCTATCAAAGTGGGTGGACTCAGGAAATCCTACAGATTCGAGCTAGAGATCCAAACTAAAGACTTTTAGTTTAGCAGTTTTAAGCGTTACCATTTTACCATCCCTTCCAACCTCTCCTCAAATGCGTTGTATTGGCTAGTAACATAGGTGCGAGGTAAATTCTACATCCTTTAATAATCTGCTTGATTTAGCAACATTCTGATTAAATTAAGTTTTGGCTAGTTAATCTAGAGCGTAACAGACCAACTTATCTAACTAGCGCTGAAAAAGATTAACATTTATATAGGTACTATTTCTGACATGAATGCTAGATAAAGAAAAGAATATAAAAATGTAGAATGCTTATATATCTTTCAGGTAAACTTTCCTCTATGTACAATAGCACACACACCTCGATTACCTGAACACTGCATTGAGTTTGTTAGGATACTGTTGTGGCCTAAAGAGGAACCTTTTGGGGGTAAGTCGTAGTTTGATTGTCACATTTGATTCTGTTGTAGTCTAAAGAAGAGCCTTTTGGGGGTATGTCATTGTTTGATGGTCACATTCACTGTAAAGATGGGGGTATGTCATTGTTTGATTGTCACATTCACTGTAAAGATGGGGGTATGTCATTGTTTGATTGTCACACTCACTGTAAAGATAGGGGTATGTCATTGTTTGATTGTCACATTCACTGTATAGATGTGCGTATGTCATTGTTTGATTGTCACATTCACTCTATAGATGGGGGTATGTCATTGTTTGATTGTCACATTGACTCTACTGATTATTTTCCTGTTGTCATGCAGCTGATTAAAACATTTTTCTCTGTCCAGCTGGTGTTCCAATAGACGGGGATGACCCTAACCACATAAAGTGGATCTTAGAAAAGTCGCAGCAGAGGGCTAGTGAATACAATATTTCAGGTGTCAACTACAGATTAACTCAAGGTAAATGCTGAAGGGTATTTTCATTCCTTCTTTTTTGTTAGGGTTTGTTTTATTCATTTTGTTTTATATTTGATCAGAAAATTGTCACAAAAATTCAAAATTTTAATCAATGGCTACAAACATAAACCTATCATGTTACACCTGGAACCTACTTGAGAAAAAAACTACTTTTAGGGATGAGATCTCTACACCTCATTGTATCATATTTTTGATAAAGTTAAAACCACTGTATTTACTTCAGTCTGATGGTTTATATTTCTCTTTGATTCAGGTGTAATCTCTACACCTCATTGTATCATATTTTTGATAAAGTTAAAACCACTGTATTTACCTTCAGTCTGTGTATATTTCTCTTTGATTCAGGTGTAATCTCTACACCTCATTGTATCATATTTTTGATAAAGTTAAAACCACTGTATTTACCTTCAGTCTGTGTATATTTCTCTTTGATTCAGGTGTAATCTCTACACCTCATTGTATCATATTTTTGATAAAGTTAAAACCACTGTATTTACCTTCAGTCTGTGTATATTTCTCTTTGATTCAGGTGTAATCTCTACACCTCATTGTATCATATTTTTGATAAAGTTAAAACCACTGTATTTACTTCAGTCTGATGGTTTATATTTCTCTTTGATTCAGGTGTAATCTCTACACCTCATTGTATCATATTTTTGATAAAGTTAAAACCACTGTATTTACCTTCAGTCTGTGTATATTTCTCTTTGATTCAGGTGTAATCTCTACACCTCATTGTATCATATTTTTGATAAAGTTAAAACCACTGTATTTACCTTCAGTCTGTGTATATTTCTCTTTGATTCAGGTGTAATCTCTACACCTCATTGTATCATATTTTTGATAAAGTTAAAACCACTGTATTTACCTTCAGTCTGTGTATATTTCTCTTTGATTCAGGTGTAATCTCTACACCTCATTGTATCATATTTTTGATAAAGTTAAAACCACTGTATTTACCTTCAGTCTGTGTATATTTCTCTTTGATTCAGGTGTAATCTCTACACCTCATTGTATCATATTTTTGATAAAGTTAAAACCACTGTATTTACCTTCAGTCTGTGTATATTTCTCTTTGATTCAGGTGTAATCTCTACACCTCATTGTATCATATTTTTGATAAAGTTAAAACCACTGTATTTACCTTCAGTCTGATGGTTTATATTTCTCTTTGATTCAGGTGTAATCTCTACACCTCATTGTATCATATTTTTGATAAAGTTAAAACCACTGTATTTACTTCAGTCTGATGGTTTATATTTCTCTTTGATTCAGGTGTAATCTCTACACCTCATTGTATCATATTTTTGATAAAGTTAAAACCACTGTATTTACCTTCAGTCTGTGTATATTTCTCTTTGATTCAGGTGTAATCTCTACACCTCATTGTATCATATTTTTGATAAAGTTAAAACCACTGTATTTACCTTCAGTCTGTGTATATTTCTCTTTGATTCAGGTGTAATCTCTACACCTCATTGTATCATATTTTTGATAAAGTTAACACCACTGTATTTACTTCAGTCTGATGGTTTATATTTCTCTTTGATTCAGGTGTAATCTCTACACCTCATTGTATCATATTTTTGATAAAGTTAAAACCACTGTATTTACCTTCAGTCTGTGTATATTTCTCTTTGATTCAGGTGTAATCTCTACACCTCATTGTATCATATTTTTGATAAAGTTAAAACCACTGTATTTACCTTCAGTCTGTGTATATTTCTCTTTGATTCAGGTGTAATCTCTACACCTCATTGTATCATATTTTTGATAAAGTTAAAACCACTGTATTTACCTTCAGTCTGTGTATATTTCTCTTTGATTCAGGTGTAATCTCTACACCTCATTGTATCATATTTTTGATAAAGTTAAAACCACTGTATTTACCTTCAGTCTGATGGTTTATATTTCTCTTTGATTCAGGTGTAATCTCTACACCTCATTGTATCATATTTTTGATAAAGTTAAAACCACTGTATTTACCTTCAGTCTGTGTATATTTCTCTTTGATTCAGGTGTAATCTCTACACCTCATTGTATCATATTTTTGATAAAGTTAAAACCACTGTATTTACTTCAGTCTGATGGTTTATATTTCTCTTTGATTCAGGTGTAATCTCTACACCTCATTGTATCATATTTTTGATAAAGTTAAAACCACTGTATTTACCTTCAGTCTGTGTATATTTCTCTTTGATTCAGGTGTAATCTCTACACCTCATTGTATCATATTTTTGATAAAGTTAAAACCACTGTATTTACCTTCAGTCTGTGTATATTTCTCTTTGATTCAGGTGTTGTGAAGAGGATTATGCCTGCTGTTGCCTCTACAAATGCTGTTATATCTGGTAAACTCAAGATATTTCTTTAAAATTTTGTGAGGGCAGATAGTTTACAATGTTAAAACTGCTGCTAACATTACTGTCATTACAAAAAAATGTGTTAAAATTATTATATTTTTCTGTAAAAAATGTGTGTTCATTCTTCCCCAGTTTTATTATGTCTTTTTATCAGTTGTTTATTTCTCCACATGTATCTGTAATCAACACTAGCTGCCTGTGCAACTGAAGCGTTTAAACTAGCTACAAGGTTGGTGGCTTAAATTCTAGTTGTAGACTGCTTTTCATTTTACTCTTGGGGTATTAAGAAGAGCTGTGTGAAGACTGGAAAGTAATTTTAGTTCTGGGTTAGTCATTGAAGGTTCAACAAAAATGTTTTGGAATGTCAAGGGTTAACAAGTTTGGAATAAAGTAGTCTCCTAACAAAATAATGGAACAAGTAAGTTTAAAGTAGTCGCCACACAAAATAATGTAACAAGTAGGTTTAAAGCAGTCTCCGCACAAAATAATGTAACAAGTAGGTTTAAAGCAGTCTCCGCACAAAATAATGTAACAAGTAAATTTAAAGTAGTCTCCACACAAAATAATGTAACAAAAAATTTATTAAGTTGGTAATATTTGAATGTAAGAATTTCATTTTCCCTCTTAGCTGCTGTGTTCCATTGAATAACTACATGAACTTCAATGACACTAATGGCGTCTATACTTACACATTTGAGGCTGAAAAACTGGTAAGTTGAACACACCCTCCTATATGTGTATGTGATGTTTTCTATGTGGGGTGTTAAAGAATGCCACAGCTGGAACCAACAGAAGACTACAATCTCTGGAGATCATAAGATTCCCTTTTCCATAATTTTTTTTTGTAGTATTTAATACAGATCAATGATAGAGGCACTGGGTATAATCCCTACCTCTACTTACATGTAGATTTACTGTTCCAATAAAATATAATGCGGACCTGAATTTAGTCTTGTGACACACATTCAAATTTTTACTATTTTATTGAAAGGTTTAGCTTATAAAGTTAATTAGACCATGTAATGTTCTCCAAATTAGTCCATGGATGGTTCATCACACATTGTTCCCAACTTAACCTAAGTCAACCACACAAATGTCAATTTTAGAAATAAAGCAAGTATTATGTTCTCAACTTCACCCAAACCTGCGATGTTAAAGTCTTATGTCCTTTGTTCCCAGGAAGGATGTCTAGCTTGCAGTGACAAGCCACAGATACTTACGTTTACAGAGACAGATAAACTGCAAGATGTCATCACATACTTACAGGAGAATGCCACATAGTAAGTGAATAAACAACTAGCTTTCACTAGCAGTATGTAAAATACATTTTGTTTAGTATAATTACATTTTATTATGTTTTTTTTCTTATTATCACTATCATTTTAATGTGTCATTATTAAAAGATAACAATATTATTTATTGATATTACATATGTTGAAATGTTAATTTATTAAAGGGTAAGTGTAAAGAGTTTTAAAAAGTATAGATAGGTATATTCATTAAAAGTCTGTGTTAAAAGGAGAGTACAATGTCTGTTTTAGACAATGGTAACTTATGTTTTAAATGTCACTGTTTTAGCCAGATGAAATCACCGGGTGTGACAACAACTATGGGCGGCAAGAACAAAACCTTGTACATGCAGACAGTCAAATCTATCGAGGAGAAGACCAGGGAAAATCTAAAGAAGTCTCTTAAAGGTATTAATTAATTGTTCCTAAAACTTAAAACAAAATCAGTATTGAGTTATATTTAATAATGATTTTTTATTTTTTTTGTTTACATTCTTTTATTAAAAAAATTCTTCAAATTTTAATAATCATTTCAAAATGTATTTTTCATGGTTAAGCAGTAAAAATAGTCAGGTGTATAGATTTATGTTGTTTTTTTTTTATAGACATTTTTAAATTCTGTCTTTGTTGCCAGATTTAGCGCTAGAAAATGGCCAGGAAATCTATGTTGCTGATGTGACCACACCAAACACTCTGACATTCCGGCTTCAACTAGGTGCAAAGATGGATAACTCTTAACATTTGTCTTACAAGTTTTATTGTTTTTAATCAATTGATAGTTTAGTAAATTCATACATTATTCCTTTTTGAAGTCAAATAACTTTTAGTTAAAAGTAATATTTTAATTCAGAATATTTATATTTTGTGAATAATTTATCCCAATAAACATGTCAGTGAAATTTAGTTACAGCTGAGCATATTTGTTTTTAAAACTATTGATTTAATAGAGTTGTTTATTAACAGAATAAACTTTGGAATATTGTTTTGTAGAAACAGCACTTGGTGTCATGTTTTTTAAATAATATAAATAAGCAAGACTTTAAAATTTGGGGTTTCTGCACTCCAGGGAATTTCACAACATCATAGTCAACTGTCTTAGTTCGAGAGGTCCAGAGTGAAACAAATTCAACTTTGTCTAACTCAGTAACAATCTGAGATAAAATTTCAAAATATTTCTATGTTTGTAGTTAAAAACTTGATTAAAAAACAGTATTAATAACAAAAGTAATGTACATTAATGCTACCAACTGACATTCTCATCATTTATTTGCTGAATCTTTCAATTATAAAACATAACATAATATCAGGATGTGTTTGTTATAGAAATAAGTTAAAAGAACTGTCCATGAAATCCATTAGCAAACGGAGAGCCTGTTAGGTTCCCTCTGTTTGGTCTGGCTAAGGGGTCAAATCTGTGTCCAGTACTAAATGGACTGGGCATGGGAACATTTGGTGCTAGAGGACCTGTGAATCTTCCAGCCAGAGGGTCAGGCAAACCTGGAGCAGATAAAGGGAAATAACTTGATATAGTTTCACACATAAAAACTGAATACTTAGTTAAAAACCTGCAAGCCTTAAGAAGATAAAGGGAAATAATGCAATATTATAAAACTGAATACTTAGTTCAAGTAGCAAACATATTGTGAAGATACAGGGGGAAAACAAACAGTGATACAGTTTCTCACAGGAAAGATATTAACTACAAGCAAACCATGTGAAAATAAAGGGAAATAAGTCAGTGGTATAAGTTTATACAGGTACCTCAATAGTTCTACTTAGCTATACACAAACATTTCTATGAGAGATATATAGATCATCTCTAATTTAAAGGTTCAAATATAACTGGTTAGTGTCTATGTCATCTATCCGTCCACCTTGCTTTGGCTTGTGTAGAGGTAAGTAAAAGCTAAGGCAAAATAAGTGACCACACAATCCCTTTAAATTCTAAGGTCACAGAAACTAGTGAACTCCACCTGCCCTAATGACAGCCAGGTAGGAAAGAAGGGACACTTTAGATGTCCTTACAGCAGGTATCACTCATACCCTCATGTACCATCTTATAAATGATACAAGAAAACATACATTTAACCAAACTCTAGATACCACAAAGCTTACCTGCAGCAAATTCAGGATGCAAGTCGTAATCACCTCCAAGCATTCTGGGAAAAGGAGGCATACCAGGCGCGAATGGCCTAAAGGGTCCAATAGCCCCAGGAAATCCCCACGGAGGATCTGTGGCATCAACCTGGAACATGCGCCTTCTTTGCTCGTCCTTTTGCTGCTGGTATTTTTCTTTGTACAACTAGAACATGGATCATTTTGTTAGGTCAGGTATCGATAATGAAAAAAATATAAATATATTGAATCAATTGGTCATCCATATTATGTAGGCCTATATATTGTAGCACATGAAATTAAAATTACATATATGAGTAATAAAAATACCAGATATATGATTATGATGTCAATTTTCTTGTCTCCTTCTCTTTCCCACATGACACACTCTCCCTTTCCATTATACAAACGACAATGTTTATTGTTGATATCTAAGCAAAAGAACAGCAATAAGATTTACCTCAAACCAGTTTTTTCCGAGGCTGCAATCCTCAGGCTCTGGAAAAAATATTTATGTACATTTAATTTTAATTAGCTTCAATATCTTTTCTTTTGCTCAACAAGTTTAAATAAACTATGTTCTTGTAAATAGTTCAGAAAGTAAGCAGCATGGAAACCTTAGATCTATCTCAATAGAGCTTGCCACTTACTGCCGAACTGGCGCATATACAATAATCTCCACACAATTTTGTCTTTATACACTGAGAAGAAATCCAGGCAAGTTTGACCCATGTGGCATAAGCTTTTAGCATCCAGGAAGGAGAAAATCTTCAACTTAAAAAATAAATTTTGTATGCTACCAATGTTTATAATTTAAGACTTTAAAATCAGCTAATGATTCATAACCAGTATTAATTAAATAAATGAAAAATAACTAAATAATTTGCTTCTAAAGGTCAATATAACAAAATTATACCAAATGGTACTAAAAATGTTATTAAAAAACACAATAAATCAGAAAGGGTTCTTTCATAAAAAGGGATCTACCTTTGCAGCGTAAGGAAGTGCTAAAATACCACTTCTTCCAGGAAAGCCAGATTCTGAAATATAAAAAGACATTAGGTGAGAGTACAGCTAGATTAAAACTTTTTTTTCTTCAAATAATGAAATTTTTATCTATATTTAATTAAAAATATTTTGTATTAATGATGAAAATTGCATTTACCTGTTACAATTTCGTCAATTAAAGGTAAGCACACAGTGTCCATCATCTGTCTGGACAATCTATCCAGGGCTCGGTACGTCTGAGGGGGGTCTAAAATTTAAAAAAAAAAAATTTCCAATGAATTTTTAACTGAAATTTGTGTACAGAGGATTATTAAAATGGTTGTTGCATGGACTAGAACAATTGTAAAAAGAGCAACTATACAATTGTTAACAGAATTTCTTTTATTTTCTTTGACCATCATTATGAGAAGTTGATCTAAAACAATTAAACCTTAACCACAATTTAATTATGTGATTCAAAGTGAGGAACATTAACAGGTAAACAATTTTTTTATATTGAAATAACAAATCATTTTTAGTAATGGTGAGTGTTCTCAAAAATACTACATTATTGAAACCACTTTTTAAGTATAATAAAAAAAAAAAGTTCTATCTTCATCAAGATGTGCAGTGAAATTTTAAAAGTTTGTGTGTTAGTTATGGTGTACATCAGGGGTCTCCAAACTACGGCCCATGGGCCGGATGCGGCCCCCGAAGTCCTTTCATCCGGCCCGCGGAAATCTTTTTGTCCAATGAAAAATCTTTGTTGGTGATGGCTGAGGAACTTTGCCCAGAAAAGCAATGACATGTCTGGAAGAAACTGACCCCCGAACTAAAATGTAATAGTTAATGCGGCCCTCGGACTAAAAAGTTTGGAGACCCCTGGTGTACATGATTATTTTCAACATTAAATAGTGACACAGAAATGTATTTACCTTCTGATAAATTTCTGATAAAGTCCGCAGTTCTAAGTTGGAGATGCTCTGTTTTGTAACTCTGTTCAGACTTGGTGAGGGCTGTTCATGGAAATGTTAAACTACTAAAATAATATGGAGACTTTGAAGTTCTGTAAATATTTTACATTATTTTTAAAAAGTTTCTTTAGCTCAAGTCTGTTATTATATGTTGAAACTGTGCAATCAGCCATGACAAGTCCTATTGGTCTAGGGTATGATTTCCTACCCTAGGGATGCCCCTGAGTTCACTCAGCTATGATGGGTACCTGGCTACGGTCAGAGAAAGTTAGGCTGCACATGGTGTTGACCACTTAATCCTTGCATTGGCAGATATAGGAATCAATTGACTCTATCCCATAATATAAAGAGTACTTGACTTCATTTTTTGTAACAAAAGATTAAAATATTTAAGAAGAAAATGGAATAAACTTTTACATCTAATACTTTCCCCCAGTTAGCCAATAAAACTTAACATTCAAACTGCCATATGCGAGTAGAAAATTTACCATGCACAGCAACTGAAGAACCCATGGTCAGACCAATCAAAGCACAATCTTTCACCACATCAGGTGTGACTGTATAGCTGTAGGAGCAAGTGTAAAATCCTTGTTTCTTCCATTCACTTGGCATTATCCACAGATCCTGGTCCTGGGCAGAAACAAAATGCTCTTTCTTGTTGCAAGTGTTGGTATTTACAAAACATAATAAAACAGGCTTTTGTGCCAAAACTTCAATATCGAAAATTACAAATTCAATAATTAAAATTAGAAATGTGTTCAAATATAACTTAAACATAAAAATATAAATTGAAAAAAATATATATAAAGGAGAAATATGTTCAAATATCAACAAAAAGAGAAAAATTAGAAATTAGAAAATAAAAAACAGAAATGTGTTAAAATATAGATCTAACTTTAAAGAAAAATTTTAAATAAAATTAATTCAATTATGAAATATATAAATGAGAAACACGTTAAAATATAACTAAAAGACTAAAAGTATAAATATTACAAAATCTTTTAGAAAATATAAATATGATAAAATATCACTGACTTGACTTGGATAAAACCCTGCCTCTAGCATGATGGCATGCAGGACAACCCATAATGCATCATTGGTGCTGCTACAGTTAGCAGACGTGTACAACTGGTGCAGCAGTGTGGGAACTTGAGTGGCAGTTGACTCTCTGATCACCAGTGGCTCTTGGAGGTATCTGATTAACAGGTTTAATTAAAAATGGAGTGTGTAAAACTAAGTAAAATCATGCTAGGCTATATCTAATATTAAACTTAAACAAAAATAAAATAAACATTAACAGTTTAATCAATATATCTAAGTTTTAAAATATAGCAACCTCTTAAAAAGGCAATTACAGTAAACATAGATGCAGTAAAGATTAAAATCCTAACCGTAGTGCTATTTATGCAACAGAAAATCATAAAGATAATAAAGTATAAAACTTAAAAAAAAAAAAATTATTTTTATAATTGTTAATATATTTGATAAACAAACTTATTTTTACACATATTTTATAAGACGATTCACATCCAAACAATGCTACTTTGTGATGAAGATCTATGCAAACAAAACTTACAGTAACAAAGAGATATAATTACCTGTTGACGTCTGCATCTATCACAGGTGTTGGTGAGCTATTTTTCACCACATTCACCTCCTGAGAAATTAAAGTTTCCATACTAGTCAAAATGTTCAATCTTAGAAGTTTTCAGCCTAGACATAATGTTCCATCTTAAAAGCACCAAAAATTTTTGGACAATTATTTCAAGAAAGATTACTTATCAAATCTTTATTTTGTTTTAGATTGATGATTTTTAAAATTGTTTTCCGTTTTCATTTTTTCCCATTTTGCACTTCATTTCAAACTGGACTGATCTAAAACATATGAAAGCATAGAATTACCATTTCACTTTGGATATTGTGTGTACTGAGCAGTGGAGTGGACAGCTGGGAAGTGGATGGATCAGTGGTTGAGGTTGTGACAGAAATCTGGCCAGTAGTTAACACAGAAGAGAGAGCTGTATCACTTGTATAGGATGCCAGGGGCTGTGGTCTGTTTCTGGTTGGTTCTGGAGGTCTTTCATTGTTCTGCTGATATACAATACGCATTTTGATCAAACACAGATTGTAAATTTAAACATTCTAAAGTAAGAAATAATAGCAATCTCGATTTAAGCTTTAAATAGCAATAAAGATTGTTAACTTAGAGAGTCATTAAACCATGGTCAAAATTAAATGTTCCTAATTACTATGCTAATTTTTATAATTTCACTCAAAATATAAAGATTTTTGAAATTTAATGAAAATAATACACTGGGCCAAACACTGACTAAATATGCCTATATTGGTTGCCTTGTATTTATACAAGACAAACTACAGCAGAGGGATTTATGATCTAAGGGTGACGCTAGGTGAAAAAACTAGTACAGTATAACTACAAGGCATGGAGGTTAGCATAAAAAGCTATTTAACATCTCCCTTTTAAAAACTGTATTTTCCAAGCAACAAATTTATTTTGAATAACCAAACTGGATATCAAGTTATAGATATAAAAAAAAAAATGATGTTTTCAACAGTTAAGTCTTAAATTTTAAAATCCTATATAACATCCTAATTAAAACTTGCTAACTCCCTTTCAAGTTTTTTTTGACAAAAATTACAAATTTGAAAAGAATAATTTGTCATTTGATACTGTAGCATTACAATAACCAGATACATTTTTTAAATAGACTATGTGAGTATGTGGTGTTCAAAAACAGAATCTGATGATAATATACATTTTCTAGAAATATAAAAACAGTATAAACCTGTGTTATGTTGGTGCCCATAATATGGAGCAAGTCACCGGAAACAATTCCGATTTCTGATAATTTTTGGTTTTCATCCAGAAGACCATCTCTGCCATTTAAACTCAGTTGAAATGAACTGTAAATAAACATTTGTTATTGGTAATGGTTAAGACCAAAAATTAAAATAACTGAGCACTTCTAAAATGTAAAAAGAACAATGAAACAAAAGAAATTTTTTTAAATTTATTTTAATTTATTTTACTTACTGATCATTTAAATTAATTTGGGACGAAACAGAAGTCTTTAATTCTAGAAGTGTGATATCTGATGCTTCACGTGTTCCTAGGTCAATTATGCGAGTTTCCCTATCAAATTTGACTCTCACTTTCATTGTTGATGGTATCAGAATTTAACACATACTGCCGTAATCTGGAGTTTGAAATATAATTAATTATAATTAAGAAGGAGTAACCAAGAATGATACTAAAAAAAACATTATAATTGGTGATTTCTAGAAATAATGCTAGCATAGGGTGTATTGTGTAGCAAATTATTTTTAGGGAGAAGCAAATAATAATTTCACTATTATATCACATAGCCAAAAGGCCATTACCCAGCTATGACCATCACTGTGACAGCAGAATAATAATAGCTCAAGCAGCAAACAAATAATAAAGGCCCCGGCCGCTATTAGGACCCTGGTCCTTATAGCCAAGGCTGCTATTCACACACAGCATTAAGTTTGATCTATAGTTACACACTTGTATATATCTGTTTTAAAATTTTATCTTTTTATATTTAGGCCAATATGATTTTTCTTGTGGAATCGCTAGTAATTTGTTGTATGAGTTAATAAATAGTTTTGTGCATTGCTAGTGTTAGGTCTTTCTATTTCTAAATACCCTATCTTTAGCTCTGTATACAAAATCCTTAAATATTGGATATATCATAATTGACTTAAGACATCATGGTCAAGTGGAGAACGTTATGCTTCCCAAAATGTTTCGCAAATCTCGTCAGTAACCTGTATGGAACCTGACTGAACTGGGATTTCCCTTCACTTGTTCTAAAACAAAATGGTCAGTTTTGTGGGAGAAGAAAAATATTCATCTCAGTGAGTTTGAAGTTCTGCCTCGATAATTATCTTATCTAATAAATTAATTGTTTTAATTTCTTTGCATAGGCCCCTGGTTGCTGTTTTTTAGATCTAGAATCTATTTCTTTTCTATGTGATTTAGATTTTTAAACACGCCAATTCTAAACGACGTTTATATCTAGATCTAGATCTATATCTAGAACATAACAAAAAATTAACAACGTCAACATGAACAATCAGACATCAGACATTCATTTCATCATCATCATATTCATTCATTCGACATTCATGATTCTGTTCTGCCTCTCACTAGTCTCACTCTCCTCCTCTTATAGATTAGATTGATTAGATCTAGATTCTAGTCTAACTGCTAACTCTAAAGTCTAGAGTCTAGTACTAGAGTAACTAGTAACTAGAGTAGTCTAGACTACTCTAGACTAGACTCTAGACTCGAGACTGAGTAGTCTAGACTCTAGAGTCTAGACTCTAGACTACTCAGTCTGACTGTCAGACTAGTCTAGCTAGCTAGAGTCTAGCTAGACTAGATCTGACATTAACTGTCAAACTGAGCCTAAGATTTTTTAAAACTTTCTTTATGCTTGAGATAATGTGATAGATCTAGTAGTCTAGTACTATTTTTATTTTATTATTAAGGCTTAAAGTATAATAAAGCCTAAAGCACTTCACTAACTTTAGATCTTTTTAATTCTTGAATGAAAATAAAAACATTCATGGCTTTCCGGTTACTATTTTTTATGTTTATTAAAAACGTACAATGTTTTTGTTGATACAGTTACCGAGAACTCCCGAAACTAACACAGTATCAAACTTAGAAAACAAATTAATTATTTAATGGTCTTGGGTATTTTATGATGCTTGATTATATATATATATATACATACATATATATATATATATATATATATATATATATATATATATATATATATATATATATACACATGAGTGTGTGTGTTTGTGATTGTGGAGAGAGAGATGAATTTATTACGCTTTTGAAGAAATAAAATTACAGTTTTATCACATTCTCAATTTCGAAACTAATAGGAAATTGCTTGCCGTGAGACGACTTCTGATCCCTTATACGTAACGCTCCCTAAATACGCTACCTCCTTGATACATTTGTAAACTTTGTGAAAGAATCATTCCATTATCTTCTAAATACAACAATAAATTCGACAGCTTACACAAAAGTCTCTAAGTTGGATCCTAGGCTCGAGTTCTTACCCCCCCCCCCCTCAGATCTAATGGATACGTGACTTGGGGTAGGAAAAGTAAAGGCCACTTGGCTTATAGTGCTGACCCCACTATCCAATCTTAAACCGAGGTGACTTAAATAGGCAAATTCTACTCCACCTGCTCCATGGAGCGTAAGGTTAGAACACAGCTGTTGAAACCAAAGGAAAGGGTGTTACATAATACAGCTTGCAATCGGCAGTGTCGCAGGAACTGCCTAAAGGAAATTATAGTTTGGTGATCCTAAAGGGCTCCGCACCTGTTTTATTTTGGAGTTTTCTCTTCTAGCTGTCTCCAGTTAACTAGCCTCATCTGTCTGAGGGTTCGAACTCAGGACCTTCGGGTTAGAAGCCAGGCTGGACTGACCCCACCTTCTAAGTCGACCTACCCTTATAGGAGCATGAGCGTGTTAGTTGTTTTTTTATTGCTCACGTGACCACAACTCACAAATAAAAGCAACAACATAAAAAAAAATGAAGAATTTGAAACTGTTAGATTATTTTATTAAAAAAAAATGAAGTTAAAAGATACGGCATGTAACAAGCATATAACAAAGCAGTAATATTACAACACATTCCAATTTTAGAATGGCCAAGACTGGTCTCGTGATTCTTCGTATGTTGATCTAATTGTTACATTAAAACCAAATATTTTGGTTTATTTGTTATATTTGATGCGAGTTTTAAACTATGTACAAATTAGATACGTTCACTGGAACTATATACAACGTTAAATGCAGCTAAAAATAGGCAATTTTTTCGTTCAATAAATCTTGCACGATCCATATTAAGTCAGAAAAGAGAAACAGCTCGTAAATAGATTTAATACTTTGAATCTTGAATCTACATAGCTCTTACTTTAACAACTGTAGCTCCACCCTTATCATAATAATATACTATATCCAGAGGCGTATCCAGGTTTTCGGTGTAGGGGGAGCGGAAATAGCAAAAAAAGGCGCCTAATTTGTAATATCTTTTATATAAGTATATATATATATATATATATATATATATATATATATATATATATATATATATATATATATATATATATATATATATATATATATATATATATATATATATATATATATATATATATATATATACAGTGGCGTAGCGAGGTCGCGTGTCACCCGGTGAGGCACTTAATGGTGTCACAAGATTTTAAATTTTCGATTGGCACCCCCCCCCCCCTCAAGTTTTGCTCTATATATTTTGCTATTTTTTGCCTTGGTGTCACCCCCCCCCCCCCCTAAATGGTGTCACCCGGTGCGGTCCGCACCCCCCGCCCACCCCCTCGCTACGCCTCTGTATATATATATATATATATATATATATATATATATATATATATATATATATATATATATATATATATATATATATATATATATATATATATATATATATATATATATATATATATATATATATATATATATATATATATATATTGTATATATATATGTATATATATATATATATATATATATATATATATATATATATATATATATATATATATATATATATATGTATATATATATATATATATATATATAAACACACTATGACCAAAAACAATGAACGCGGCATAATCTGTTTTGTAATCCTTGTAAAAAAAATTGCATAATAATTCCTGGACATCTATTAAGACTAGCGAAAAGGGGAAATAGTCAATATCTTAATATAAATATGTATATGTCTACATATTTTATTATAAATATCAAAACAAATCAATAATTACTTTAGAATCTAATAAAGTAATTTAACACTATTCGTTATAACAAAAATATTTTCTCTACAATCAGAATTAAATATATTGTCATCATAAATGTTAAAGTATTACAGCATAATGAAAGTTTTTTAAAATCAGAGTTGGTATAAAAGCCAGCTTTTCAATGTAGTGGTAAAAGATTCGGAATTATAGCCTACATATAACTAAAATAACGGTCATACATTTCAGATCATGCACTTTTTAATTAGCTAATGACTTTAAGTATGCTTTGACATAATGAGAAGGTATGGTTTAGATCAGGGGTCTCCAAACTTTTCAGCCCGAGGGCCGCATTAACTATGAAATATACGTTCGGGGGCCAGAGTTTCTTCCAGGCATCTCTTCGGGGTGGTGAATCCCCCCCTCAACGGAATTATATATATATATATATATATATATATATATATATATATATATATATATATATATATATATATATATATATATATATATATATATATATATAAATGTATATATATATATATGCAAATCAAGTGCCCCCCCCCCACCCGAGAAAAAAAAGAAACACTGTCGGGGAATGAACAATATACTTGAGGTCCAAGTTTGTTCTTAAATAGTTCTTCACGTAGGCCTAATTCTTTCTGAATAAAGTTTGTATGTTGTTCCAAAATTTGAAAGGTACTTTGCGGCAAAAGTTTTAATATTAGGAAAGTCTTCCTTGGGCAAATACTTATAAAACCCACCCGCCCTTATTTGAAGGAGGTCATTTGCTTGGCAAATGGCCACATTAACTTCAATGGTATTTGCACCCAATGCTTCATTTTCAAATTGTTTTGAATTTTTCCTCAGCCACCTCCAACAATTTTTTTTCTGCGGAACAAAAGATCTCCGAGGGCCGGATGAGAGGACCTCGCGGGCCGCATCCGGCCCGCGGGCCGTAGTTTGGAGACCCCTGGTTTAGATCACTGTATTGCTAACACATTTTTTTACTGGTAATTGCAAAAACAATATTCACAGAGATTTACGTTTCAAATGTGCCGACCAAAGATAATTTTTTAACAAATATCAATGTTTAAAACTTTGAGTTTAAAAAGTTTCCAAAAAGGCGCCACTTTGCTAAAAATATCCAGAGGGGGAGCGGCCGCTCCCCCTGCTCCCCCCCCCCCCCCCCTGCGTACGCTACTGACTATATCCTACCCTAAGAACTTACAATCCCCACCCTAAGAACTTACAATCCCCATCCTGGCCACAACCTTTAATATAGAGTTCTCACCAATAAAAGAACAACTCCCAAGTGAGCACATAACACAAGAATATCTAAATTTCTATGTAGCGGTAGAGCGGTAGCATGAAAAGTAAATAAGCAATAATACTTTATTTACATTTTCTTACGCAGAGGACTGGCTATTCAGTACTGAATCTTTTCCCTTTAAGTGTCACACAGATTTTTTACTTGCATTTTGAGAACCATTATATTGTGTTTATCTTGTGTAATGATAATGTAGTAATTAGGGGTCATCCATTTATGACGTCCACACGGAGGGGGGGGGGTCCGAAAAAAAACACTTTTGTGGACGCGTGAGGACTGGGGATGGGGGGGGGGGGGTGTCGGGTCATTGTGGATGTCCACATCTTGAATTCAACAACAAAATACTTACTTATATTTTAAATAAAAACTACACTAAAATGTAGGTTATACATTAAATCGGCATTCAATATTCCCAGTACAACGGGTGAATAAATGTATCAGAAATGTAACTATAAACCGCCCACCTAAGAGAAAAAGCGACGTTTTTTTTTTACGGTCGGGAGGGGAGGGGGGCAGTGACTGCGGCAATTATCTACAACATTTCACTGTATTTCAAGTTTCATTTTTTTTTTAAATTTCGAACAATTAACGCATACATTTAAAAATAAATTGTTCTAGTCTGATCGGTCATGTAACTAAATCACAGTCTGATCATTAATTTTTTATAGGAGTGACTTTTTGTATTTATATGTAAAGATGGAGGTATAAATGATTAAAGGATTGACACCATTTGTGTGCGGCTTCTTATCAGTCAACACTTTCTTTAATTACAATCAAAATAATATAATCAACCATTAAGTTAATAACATCAGACATATTAATTGATCATTAATTAATAAAATAAAGCCATAAATAAAAAATAATAGTTTTAACATTAAGAGATCTAATAAAATATTAAAATATAATTGACTTTATTAACAAAATATCACATGGATTTGAAGTTTAAGGCATAAGTATAGTGTCAGTTAAGTATTAAATATACAAGAAGATAAACGTCCTCGCCATTTAGTAAATCATTCAACATCAACTGTCAAAAAACAATTTATCATGAAAGAACTTTTTTAAAAAAT